GGGATGATGACATTCCCAACTGAACGGAAATTCATAAAAGCCATGTCCCAAACCACCAACCAGATATTTCATTAACCATTATTAACCACTGTTAACCACTATTAACCACTATATTGGGAAACCACTATTATTGATCCAACCACCAAGCAGCGATAGAATGTGGTGGAGCACACAGGATATATTTTGGGATATCTCAGGATCATCAGAGGGTCATGACATGTCATGACCCCATCGGATAGTCAAATCAGATGAAATCCCTAGGATTTCTTGCTTCAATGGTGGCTTTCCATAGTCATTGCGGTACCATTAAAGCCCATAGCCATAGCAGCCCAGCTCGCTGTTGTTTTGTTTTGAATGAAAAAATGAATGGAACATAAATACCAAACAAAAATGACTGGATGACTGGGGGTACCGAACCCTGACTTCGGAAAGCCCCTTAAATACCTGTCCCAAACACCTGAGGTTTCACCTGGGGGATGCGGGACAGGGATTGATGGCTATATATGAAATAACCATGGTAGTACGTAACCAGCTAACCAGTTGGGATATGTTGGGATATAACCCATATATCATATGTTTTACAAAACTATAGCATACTATAGTTAATCATATATATATAAATACATATAACATCACATAACTGGAACTGCAGCCCCATACTTGGGCCGACTTAAATCGATGTTCTACCGTTCTTTCAGCATGGCGATCTTCCTTCGCAAACTGCTACCGTAAATTACCAGAGGGCAATCCAAATTTGTTCAAGCAAACATCTTGGTTTCACTACGTATGTCTCAAGGTAGTCTAAACATGCTTGAACAAGGAACAAACGCTTACAATGACCATTATATAGGCAACGATTCTTGTTTCACTCACATGACAGTCCCATGCCGTGTCGCTTATTTAAGCCAGTACCCCCAAAAGCACATCCGAAGAAATCATCCCGAAATAAATAGAAAAAATGGTTTGATTATTAATAAAAACAGATAAAATTGATTAATAATTCTTATTTTTATGGTTTTATCTTGTTTTTATCATCAGATCAATTATTCATAAAGCCTTAATAACAGACCCATTGAACAATGATTGTGGATCATTGTTGGGGGTGACCTTTAGGGGCTGCCATGACGAACGGTCCAAGGATCGGTCTTCTCGTTTGCCTTCACTTGCCAATGGCGTCGGTCCGATTTCCGCGTCCAGTTGGATGCATGGGAATGGAGCCTGCAACAAGTCAGAACGGGAGAAACAGCCACCGTGGCTGTTGCTGTTGGAAACCAAAACGCATACAGATAGACCATGATATACCTGTAACCTCTGACTTTCTAGCCCAGCACTCAGTAGGTGCTGTGAAATGCAACCTGCTAACCTGTAGAGTTCTGTGCAAGGCTCAATGTGAAGATAGGTACATGCATTTTTATACCCCTAGTTATTCTGGTATCCGGCAAGAGTTACCTTCCTGATCCGCCATTGGGCCATGATTGAACCACCATAATGCACCTCAATTCCAGGGGCCAATCTGAGTTTTTGGCAGGCCATGATTCCGCCATGGGTTGCAAATGATTGTAGGTCAAATGACAGAAAGCAACACACTTCCAAATGATTAAATAATGTATCACCCCTATATAGCGTGGCCTTGGATGGCGTAGCATCAGCAAGCCGAGCAGTTTGCTGTAAGTGAAAATCTATGGTCAACCCCCAATCCTCAAACCTTGCATTCGAGCAGTGATATCATTTTACTGTGACTGCCCCAAAATACCATCCTGAACATGGTGGTCATAGTGGCAATGACCATGGCTTACTTCAAACATGTGTTTTTTTCCAATTCATCAATATATATATATATATAACAAAACAAAATACATGAGAAACACCACCATGTCATGTCTCGTTTTGATCATAGATATATACTGGTTGGTGGTTTCAACTCCTCTGAAAAATATGAAAGTCAGTTGGGATGATGACATTCCCAATATATGGAACTTCATAAAATTTCATGGTTCCAAACCACCAATAAAATTCATTGCCAAATATCCCATTATATCCATTCGGAATATTATCTTAATCCATAATTCCCAAGATTCCAAATGTTCCAAACCACCAACCAGATATTCATTGCCAAATATCCCATTATATCCATTTGGAATATGATTAATTCCCAATATTCCCAAGATTCCAAATGTTCCAAACAACCAACATTATATTTATATAATATATAATAAATATATATATATATATATTAATGATTAAAATGTTCCCATATTCCAATTGTTCCGAATATTATTAATCCACTACTAATATTCCACAGATCTGGGTAACTTATAATATTTCTCTAACCTGAATTAAGGCCATTTGGAGATGATTCCCCTTACTAACCATGATTCCAGTGAGGTCGCAGTGAGGTCGTTATAATTTACCCAGATAGATCGTTTTCGCTTTCCCCATGGTGTTCCCCGTGGCGATCGTGTGCGTGTGCGTTTCGCCTCTCATCTGCCTCCGATTGCTCAGTGTCAGTGTCATGAGGGGACCGGGCAGAACCCGCGCTCGTCTCATCATCCGCCTCGCGGGTAGGGAAAGATTTCAAGGAACAATATCCGAAACATCAGGAAACATCAGGAAACATTAGAAAATGTTAATGGATTATCAGTGGATTGACCATAGGAAACATCAGGAAACATCAGGAAATATCTGGTTGGTGGTTTAAACCATCTTGAAAAATATGAGTCCATGGGAAGGATTATCCCATATATTATGGAAAACAAAAATGTTTGAAACCACCAACCAGATATTAATGGCTTATTAATGGATTATCAATGGATTAATATATATATATATATTATAATGGATTATTAATGGATTAATACGGATTATTGCATTGATTTTGGAAGCTCAACCAGAGGCGGATTTGTTCTTCACACCCTTTTTTGGGGATCAGGTCTTGTTCGCCAACCTCACCTGTCCTCGATGTTCATCTTGTGTGATGTCGTTTGATCTGTGTTGAGGAAGATGGAAGGGCAACCCCCATTTCCGATTTGAAAATCCAGAAACTCCGTGTGGAATGAGGTCCACTAGCCAATCTGATGCTGTCTCGTGCCGTGCCCGCCTTGTGATCTGTATCTTCCTTGCAGTTCTCCTTACCGGAAACCTGTCCTGCAGATCTGCTGGGTGCGTATGCGTTCTTTTAATCAATCATGGCTAGCTGGCAAATTCCCGAGCTAAACGGAGGTCTAACACCTTAATGAATTATCAAACTGAATGGGTAATTTTCCAGCAACATGACGCCAGAGGGTACTACATACTAGCGCCGCGGCGGATAGCTGCATCGAAATGATGTCCCTCTGCAGTTTTAGGAGAGCTTGACCACGAGTTGCATTTTCTTCACTTCAATCACTTTGACAGTCCTATTGTCTTGCTGGTTTGCCATCAGTGTCATGTTTCATACATGTTCGTGCCAGCGCCTTGAAAGAGAAAAAACACAGTTATTTATTTGATCACTGCATTGCTCTGCGATATATCCAGAGCACCACAAGAAACATCGGGAGTTGTGAATGACTTTGACTTGTGAATTCAATTTCAGATTAACCCATTAAGAGAATTTGAGCCAACATCTCACTAAAACCAAGAGCCAAGAGGCAAACAAGTGACATGCTTCGGACATCTACACGTGACACACAGAAGAACTGAGTGAATGCCCCATCTAATTATTGTCCATAAATAACTAAATAACCATCAATTGTATTCAATTATTAACCATTCACAACCATTATTATGGCAACATATGGTAATCACTAACGGGTGACCCCAGCTGCCCCCATCCCATCCTTCCGGCAGCTCTGTAAAAAGCTGTAACTCGGCGGGTTGTTCCAATCCGGGAGGAGGCTTAAAATCCTGGGCTTCGGAGGTTTCAAATCGCTTTTTCAGGGATATTTTAGGCTTCGTTTCATGAGGTTTCCCTCCAAATCGCCCCATGGCTGCGTACCATCCGTGCTTCTTGGTTAACCATCTAGCATCATCTAGCCTTGTTTGTCAGGCCCCAATCAGGCATGTTATTCCAGCGCTATGGCTTTCTACTCTACACAACGGGTGGTTCCAATCTAGAGATGTTTAGAAAATCTAAGGAGGATCCACAGCCATGTGGTGAACATTCCAACCCCTGCGATGTCAAGACGTTGCGACACCAAGAGGCTGTACGTACCGGGAGCACACCGGTACCAGGCAAGGAATAGGCCTGCACCATGAAACATGGTCAGATGTTGCAACTTGAAAATATTCGCTATCTCATGTGGATTGCCTGAATACCTTTCTTTTTGGAATTGAAATGGCTTCGGGTCTACCATTCTACAGTGTCTAAAATTTGCATTTGTTTTGCAGGGTTCATGTCAGGTGTAATCTGTGTATATTCTCAGGTGTTTGACAGTGTCTCATTGACCTTGGTATAGAGGGTCGAACTGCCACTTCCAATTCCTCCAACCACTTACTACCCTTCCTGGGAGATGTCCCAAGCCAGAACGGATCATTTTTCCGGGGGCCACCATGTGAGTTTTTGGACACACAACTCGCAAGGCCAAACAAAAAAACCAACGTAATTGACACGGGGACTCGCAAATCAAATTTTGCCGATTTTTGGCTGCAAACTTCCCTGCATACTTACGCAACATTCTTCACTCAGAAACTTTGCCAGAAACTTCGCCGGCAAAACTTTGCCAGAAAAAAAATGTCAGCATTTTTTTGCCAGCTATCTGCATCTGACAACAAAATACTTTGCCCTTATTTACACGAACATGCATGTTCATTGGCATAAACCTGGCAACGTTTGAACAAAAAATAAAATATCACCCTAACTTCATTCTGCAGGAATCTTGGCCTAATAGGCTAATGGACAGGACATGGTCGACATGGTCCCGCTGTTAGCCGCTCTTGAATATACAGTACAGGAATAACCACTGTCCATCCCCAACTGTTGGATGAAAGACCCATCATCTCTATCTGAGATGGTGAAATCACAA